GATCCAGAGATCTTTTTTGCCTCGTACCATTCGGCTTTGTTGTGACATATGGCATTTCTTTCTTTTTGGATCCTCCCGATCCACTAACGGTGCTTTTAGGTGCCACAAGCACCGATCATCGTACTCGTCGAACCCGTCGCTTGCGACGAAGGGCTCGGCTAGCGAATTAACCCACAGACACAGCCCACTGAGTTTCTCGCCGGATCTTCTCAGTGGGTCGCGTTTTCGATCCGGTAGTACATTCTGCGAAGCCACTTGGGTTAGTGTTAGCAACGACCACAGGTTTGAACCCGTGAGGTTGTCGCTATAACGTGATGACTACGTAATGTTGAGGAGAATAGAAACTTATTTTTTTAATCTAACCTTAATGTAACAAAACTCAGTTTATCGAATTACTTGATATGATGAATATTTTTACTAGTTCCCTTCCGATTTTTGAACGAAGTTCCTTATCGCGCGTTGTGAAAGGGGGCTAGACGGAAAAAATTCTTACGAAAAGTTGTCACGACACTTTTTAGATCCGTCATTCTGACCAATCAACGTGTAGGCGCTTATCGCGTGACATTGCTCGTATCCGATTGGTCCGCGTAATGAGTACAGTTTCTCGAGATAGCGTTTCAACAATAGTAATTTAGTTCATAGTATTGTTTTTTTTCTTCTTCATAATGCCGTAATTTATTATTATAACTTAAAAAAAAATTACAATTCCTTCACTAATTAATCGAAAGGAACTTCGTTCCATCCGGGTGTCCCTTGACACCTCTGAAGTTTTTTATATCGAGGTTGGACTGTAATTACTTTCCCACGCATGTTATAAGCGTGCTCGCTACACGCTTATAGTACGCAGCATGCTGATATCGATAGTGTGAGATCTAAGCTATATCGCCGTGTGATGTAATCAAAAGCACTTGAACGAAAAAGCGAAGTTAGTACAGTGTCGTATTACGAATAGTGTATCTGATGGCTCTCGATACCAGACTAGTGACGGGAACAGGTCTATAGCGTTTTTATAACGCGTTATTTAAGAATAACGAACGCGCTTTATTTTGTAGTGATCCGACATACGTTAAAAAAAGCGTTGCCATAAGTAAATCTGTTTCTATTGCTTGTTAAAAGAGAAGTATTAGGGTTGTCGACACGCTCGATATTTATATATTTATATTTGTTATTTTTGAGATTGTAAAAGTGGAAATTCTTCGGAAGCGATTCTCTCTCTCTATCTCTTTCTCTTCCTATCTATTCATCTCACATGATGGTGGGTCAGCTTAATTACCTTGAATTCTCTCTTGTCCTTCAATACTACATCTATTCACCTTATCTGGAGTCTTCCCCCAGGTCTCCGAACGGAGACGTCGAGCGGTAGTAAAAATTAAAAAATGCATTCTTGTGCAAAGGTGTTTCAGTTCAGTGTTTAAAAAGGTTAATAGTCCTTTTCGACTGTCAAAATAGTTACATTTTTTCGCCACCTATTCGCTGGTAGCCTAAGGGCCGAGTCACACCGGAATGGCAGCGATGCTAGCGGCGTCGCGCAGCCTCCAGACTGCACGCGTCTAGTCTCCTCTTGACTAGTCTAGTTTCTTCATTCGGCAATGATACTCGTGTGTTTGTAGTGAACATGATGGAATTGCTTATTACATAATACCGCGGCGCCGCAAGCGGCCTTGTGTCGCCGCTGGCAGCCGTGGACAGAACTATCGGCAAGACACACGTGGCGCGCGGCTGTCCGCTTCCTTGCGGGCGAGCGGCGGCTGTGTCGCGACCTTTTCAAGCTTTTCAAGTGATACTGATCTTTTAAGTATATCCAAGATAAAGTTTAAAATTATTTCACACTGAAAGTGCTCGCCGCGACACTGCCGGCTACTGCCATTCCGATGTGATTCGGCCCTAAGGGGCTATTTCAGCTACGCGTGGACGGGTAGATGAGCTCACGGGCTCAACCTGAGAAAATTTGCTAACAATAGCCTTAGCAAGAACAGTGCTTCACAGAGTCTACCGCCGGATCGGCATTACCACTGAGAAGATCCAGCGAAAAACTCAATGGGCTGTGTCTATGGGTTAGTTCGCTCGACTGACGGTGTCCGGCGCTTGAGAGTCCTAAAAGCACCAATAGTTACACAGAATAATTTAATTTTGAAGGTTGAATTTACATTTACTTTACATTCATTGTCTATGTGAGTTTCGGATTAAATCGCATTAATAATTAAATTAGGTACTTGTTAACGCTTACGAATTTCTAAGGAGCATTTTATTTATGTTCACCGACACAATTTTTAAACACTTCAATTAATGGCCGCGCCAAGCTAACTTGTTCGCAACGTATTAAATTAACAAAAACCTGTATTAAAGAAATACAAGCACAAAATCGATTGTGGAAGTTTTATTGAAGAAACCCAAGCATCCAACAGTACTGAAGGATTTTGTTTAAGCGCAGCTTATTTTAATAGCACTAGCTGCTTAATTAAGCGTTTGTCCTCAACGTGCTACGAAAATATATTTGTTGACTACACTATCGCTCGAGGCATTGGCTGACACACCACTTCTTTTGTTTTCCCTGTCAAAAATAGGTCGGAATTTCGAAACGGCATTTTTCAATTAACAAAACAACCACTAAGTTAGATGAGCTACAATTGGAATGTCTGAGATATCCACCGTACTTCCCGGACCTTGCTCCAACAGATTACCATTTTTTTCCGGAATTTGGACAACTTCTTACAAGGAAAAAAATTCAACTCAACTCAACTCCTTTCTTTTTTAACCTTGAGAGGCTATTTCAGCTTCTCCTTGACGTGTAGGTGAGCTCACGGGGTTCAAACAGGAGATCTTGCTAACACTGGCCCTAGCAAGAGCAGTGCTTCGTAGAATCTACCACCGGATCGGAAACGCGACCCAGTAGGAAGATCCGGCGAGAAACTCAGTGGGATGTGTCTGTGGGTTAATTCAGTCGTCGAGCCCTTCGTCGCAAGCGATGGGTTCGACGAGGATGATGACCGGGATTCAACTCCGATGCGGCAGTCCAAACCGCCTTCAGAGCTTATTGATTCTCGCCCCCATGGTTTTTTTAGTTAAGGGATCAATGAACTACCTATGAGATGACAAAAGTACATAGATAACAACGGTGCATACTTTGATTAATTAAATATATTTTACCAAACAAAATATGACTTTATATTCCTCCCGTACAAAACGCCAATTTCATAAGTAAGGACCTAATATGTGGATTACGATTATGGAATATTTATGTGAGGTCGCCAATCCAATTTTCAATCTACCTGATAATGTAATCACCAATGCCCAAGACTTTCAACTCTCGCTTTTTTTATTGCTTTAAGGGAGACGAACGTATGGCTCACCTGATGGTGAGTGGTTACCGTCGCCCAGGGCCTACAGCAATGCCAGAGGCAGAGCCAAGCTGCTGCGTACCGTTAAGTACTCTCCACAAGCCTCGTTTGAAGAAGGACATGTCATAGCGCTCGGGAAATACCGTGGAGGGGAGCTCATTCCAAAGCCGGATCGTACGTGGCAAATAGATCTCTGGAAGCGCACTGTGGATGAACGCAGTGGCTCCAGGTAGTATGGATGAACTCTAGTCCGGTGGCGGGCGGTGCGATCGTAAAAACGAGATGATGATATCATCTCAAACAATTCCTCAGAGCACTCGCTCAAAGAAGAGCACCACTTAGCTTCGCTATCCACATCTAGTTTTGTGTTATTTTATTCAATTGACCAGATATACTTTTACTGGTGGTGGTGGACCTCTTGAGAGTCCGCGCGGGTAGGTACCACAACCCTGCTTATTTCTGCCGTGAAGCAGTAATGCGTTTCGGTTTGAAGGGTGGGGCAGCCGTTGTAACTATACCTGAGGCCTTCGAACTTAAATCTCAAGGTGGGTGGCGCATTTACGTTGTAGATGTCTATGGGCTCCAGTAACCACTTAACACCAGGTGGGCTGTGAGCTCGACCAACCATCTAAGCAATAAAAAAAAAGGTAAGGAATCACGATTGGGTTATCAAAATGTAAATTACGCTAAAAAAAATTGATATCACTCAAAATCAAAGACGCGATACGAGATTCTAAAAACGTTTCTTCATAAATAAATATTTCATGAGGGAACTTTTAAAATTGAATCTAAGTTTTTAATGGCATTCCAAAACTGCGTGACCGGCTTCGCTCGGGCTATTTATGGTCTTACCTCTCTACTGTTATTTTTTGCTTAGATGGGTCGACGAGCTCATAGTCCACCTGGTGTTAAGTGGTTACTGGAGCCCATAAACATCTACAACGTAAATGCGCCATCCACCTTGAGGTATGAGTTCTAAGGTCCCAGTATAGGTAGTCATAACGGCTGCCCACCCTTCAAACCGAAACGCATTATAATAGGCAGGTTGGGGTTACCTACCCGTGCGGACTCACAAGAGGTCCTACCACCAGTAATGTATTATTCTATTGTCAAAGACTATTTTATACTTCTTTAATCACAGATTTCGCCAAGACTAAACTATATACAAATAACATTAAAGACAAACAATTTTAATCTATTCTGAATTTGACCACAGTCTTTAAACAATAATTAAAGTTTGACAATTAACAATAAACAAAGAATTTCTTTATATGTATGTGTTGTGTCAAATACATGGTAGTGTGTGTTATGTTTTTATTTAATTATCGATTTAATGTATTTATTAAGCATAATTAAAAAAAAAAAACATTCTGCACTCCTCTATTTTCTCTATAAAAACCTCTTGCCTCACGTATTAATATACAGATATATATATTTATAAATTAAAAACCGAAAATAACCTAGTTCTATTTCACTGCGCCAAGGAAAATGTCCGCTTATACGAAACACAAAAATTGTCTCAAGTTATCCACTTTCCGTCCTACGCATAGTCAACGAGCAAACTTGGCCCGTATATAAAAAGGGGCTCATCTAATTCTGTGTCATTCGAAGCACAGTTCTCAGGCTGTAAACAACGCAGTCAACAAACAAAACCTTAAAAAAATGTTTAAAATTACCGCTATCCTTTCTTTAATGCTAATCGGTGAGTAACTCAGTTCTTTGTTTATAAAAAGCTTAATATAGTAAGGACTAATGATCCAGCGGGAAGTTGTTTCCGGAGGCAATAGATAACGCAATGAGATATCACCGCTGGTGGTAGGACCTCTTGTGAGTCCGCACGAATAGGTACCACCACCCTGCCTATTTCTGCCGTGAAGCAGTAATGCGTTTCGGTTTCTAGGGCGAAGCAGTCGTTGTAACTATACTTGAGACCTTAGAACTTATATCTCAAGGTGGGTGTCGCATTTACGCCGTAGATATCTATGGGCTCCAGTAACCACTTGACACAAGGTGGGCTGTGAGATCGTCCACCCATTCAAGCAATAAAAAAAAATCTGAATGAGCTCACAAAACCACCAGCTAGAAGATCAAAAAGGATTTTCACAATTCATTATCATCATCAGCCTGTATCTCTCCAGTGCTGGATCTAAGCCTGCCCCATAGTCCACAACAATGAATGGTCCTCCGCCTTCCGAATCCAATCTAATGTCCCAATTAAACGGTTTTAATTTCAAAATACGATATCCTGACTTGTTCCGGCCATTCGAAGCGCTTTCTTATGTGATTTTTAACAGAACTGTACTTAGCTTCGACAACATATGTGTTTAGGGGCATCCGCTCCAAGATGTCGCTAGTTTCCGTACAACAACAAAAAATATTGGTCTTAAATTATCGCATTTTCAGGTGATAATTATAACACGTCTTTGTGTGTCTACCGCGAGTTAGATGCAATAATCTATATATATAAAAATGAATTGCTGTTCGTTAGTCTCGCTAAAACTCGAGAGCGGCTGGACCGATTTGGCTAATTTATGTCTTGAATCATTTGTGGAAGTCCAGAAGGTTTAAAATGTAGATAAATATGAAAATGCTCGGAATTAAATAAAAATAACAATTTTGTTTTCCCTTGGATGTGTCCCCCGTTGGACGGATTCCTTTTGTTTTTTTTTTTAAAGTTTTTTTATACAAAAGCTTAGGTCTTTTATTTATCGATTGAGGCACTACGAAGTCCGCCGGGTCAGCTAGTTCTAGATAAATACAATCCAATTCTTTTACCAGCGACTTGGTCGCAGGCGGCGTCGCGGCGATTTAAGAAGGACGCGACAGCTTCTGATGATTTCGACGCAGGTCTGATCGTAGTTAGATTGCATGTTAAGATAGATAGATAGATAGTATAGATTTGTACTAAGCGTATCGATTTATGAATGTTTAGATTGTTAAATATTGTCTTAAACTTGTAAAACTACATTATTAGCGATTTTTGGTAGTGTTTAGTAGTGGTATGTTGTATATTCACTTGGTGCATGCATATTAGTTCCTTCTTTTTTTTAAAAGGGATTTTATGACTTGGTAGCTAAGATCTTTAAGTCATGTCTTATTTTAATTTATATTCATATTTTTATGAAAAATGATATTATGGAGTGAAATGAAATGAAGATGATTAATTTGAGATATTAATCGACTGGAATGAAATTAAATGAAATGAGATGAGATGATATGGGATGAAATTTAATCTCAGTAAAATGGTGGTCATTTACTAAGATTTTTCAGTGGACTTTTTGGAGGATCCCGAAATTTTACGTCCAGCGGCTTTGTTTTATTTTCCCACATTTGTGCACTTTCACAGATATCAAACATTTAATAAACCACCGTTATTACACATTTTAACCTGAAGAAACACTAAATAGACAAAATAAAACAAATCACACAACTTCACTCCTCGCGTTCCCGCCAAAAAGTTCAATTAGTTCCTTCTTTTCTAAAGAATAACCTAAAAATCAACTCGACAGACGCGTTTCTTGATGTCAAAGCGCATCATTCACTTCAGACTTAGTGAGAGAAGTGAAACCTAAAATATTTTGAGGTTATTTTTATTAAACAACGCACTGAATTAATAATGAGGTTGATTTGAATTAACAACCCAGCGAAATAATGTTGCGTTTGTTGTTGCCTCAATTGGTTGTACATAGCTGTGTGGGCTCACAAGATTTTCTACCACCCGTAAATTCAGTGGCAGTAGTTCTATTTTTCCAATTGGAAAGGCAAAGGTATCATACCGTACAGACTAATCTTTTTTTTTATATGAATTAGGATAATATGAAGTAAAATGAAATGAAATTGATTAATTTGGAACATTAATCAATTAGCATGATATGAAATGAAATGGGGTGAAATATAGTCTCAGTAAAATGGTGGTTATTTACTTAGACTTTTTCAGCGGTCTTTTTGGAGGATCCTGAGAAGCTACGTCCAGTTTTGTTCCATTTTCCCACATCCAGTAAATTCAACGTACAACCTACTTTGAGGATGTCGAAATAGAACTAATATAAAACTCCTATTCACGCTTGTACAGGTACCACGCTCTGGGCGGCGAGCTTGTCGTGCGACTCGTGCGGTAATGAGTGCACCTCAGCATGCGGCACCAGACACTTCAGGTCGTGCTGCTTCAACTACTTGAGGAGGAAACGGGGACCCGAATCCGTCAAGGTGAGACTAAGGATACACCGTGGCTTCGGACGTGAACGAATAATTTAGGTCAGCCTTTTCTAAAGTGGGCGATTACGCCCCCTTGTGGGCACTGCAGGCCTAAAGGGGGCGGTAAAAGACCCAAAAAAAATTGGGGCGTTATGTAGAGGTTTGGGAGGCGACTTGTAATTTCATCTAGGAGGACTCTTAGACACCGATTGAGCTCTCGCTATAGTGGTTTTTAAGTACCTAAAAAGAATTTATTCTCAAAGTGGTCAGTAGACAAAATAAGTTTGGGAGCCCCTGGTCTAGGTAGTAAACGACCGAATGTAGGAACTCCGTGGCGTAATTTAAAAAACAGTGGCCTGTGTGCTTAGTTCGAGTTTTTTAACGTTCTCGATCGTGTAAAAGTTAACTCAAACACACCGTTTATTGTCAAACTTTTATTGTTGTTTAAAGTCTGTGGTCAAATTGAGAATAGATTAATATTGTTTGTCTTTATGGTATTTGTCTATAGTGTAGTCTTGGCGAAATCTTTGATTAAAGAAGTTTATAATAGTCTTTGACAATAGAACCATAATAATGTATAAGCTTCTTATGTTCTAATGTCTAAACTTCTAATGTCAAATTCAATTAATTGCAGTCGAATTTCAGCTATTGGGAGACCACTAGTTAAAATAATAACGTGTCATTTCTGTATTTGCTTACTCAATCTTTTTCAGATCTGGACTCCGAGTGTCCGCGACAATGACTTGGACAGCATCACTAGGCCCAGATACCCCTTCTTCGTTGTCCAGAACCTCCCCGAGCAGTGGCTGGCAAACTTGCCCTCCGATTATAAGCCTTACGATGATCTCGACACCCGACAATCGTACGACGCCTAAACAATAACGGACTAAGGCTGCAATACCATAAGATGTTTATTTGAGACTTCTAAAGCCAAAGAAGGATGTAAATTTTTGGATTCCTTGTGTGTTTTAGCTCAAGTTTATCACCCACACCCCTATGATCTTCCTTTCCAGTCCTTAGCGCGTTTTTTTCACAAGAAGTTTCGAGTTTAAATCGATTAAGACCAACGAACTTCTATCGCGATTGTTCAATGAAATGTCATCATGATTTCTCGTCCTCGCGGCTGGTCGAATGAGGATACCTTTAATGTAATCTTTAAACGAATAATAAAAAATCAAATTTAGAACAGATAGATCGTTTTATTCGTCAGCTTAATTTTAAATAAATCTAATTTAAATTAAGATCGCGGGAGCGAAGCCACTTTCGCGGTCATTTTTGACAGCCAGATACTAAAATGGCGGTGTCACCTCCTAGAAATTCGATACAAAAAATTCATTTAGAAAACAAATAGCAGTTTATTTGTGATGTATTTAGAGTAATTAAACTAAATTGAATTGTTTAATTCTCTAATGATACATTTTTAGTGTTTTGTGTTTTTTAATTATTTTTTTTAATTTCATAGTTTGAAAACAAAACTGTTGATTATTACGAATAGATGGTTATTTAAGTTAGAATCTTATTAGCGTATCATTTTCCAGTATATAATTTGGATTTAAACCTTAAATCGAAAATCTAATTTAATATAAATATTATGTTAATATATACGACTAGTAAGTTATTCACGATTATAATAATAATTATGTCCGACTACACATTGAATCTTTAAACTTATTCTGTGCAATTCAATATTTCTAAATGTAAAGGCGATTTAGACATACAGCCATTCTTGAATTTGATATAAAACTTAATAATATAATGTCCAGGTGTAAAATCATAAGACATCACAGATTTAAATTTTAAGACGTACTATATATTAAGTTTGAATTTAATTCAAATGTTCGTATTGAATACAGGTACAATCTCCTATAACACGGTATTTTACAACACGGTTCGACTCTAACGCGAAAAGAAAAGTTCCCCAAATCCCTCTTATAACGCGGTACTTCTACAACGCGATAGCGAGATTTTTGCTTGAAAATTATTTAGAAAATTACATTATACACCATGAACATACCATATAGATATGGGAATAACCGAAATTTTACAGCCATCTTTTGTATGTAATAGGTAAACACATGCAAGCATAGTTGAGATGTTTTATTCAGAAATATTAGTTTTTGTACTGGCTTCTAATCTCATATAACGCGGTTATGCATAACGCGGGACTTGGAGTGTATCGACCGTGTTATAGGAGGCTTAACTGTTTATCAAAATATACATAAATCATTATCTCTTCACATTTAGAAAAATCAAGTGCAAAATCACTAACTAAACGCCATACGTCAAAACAAAATGGCTTCCTTTAAAGTATTGACAGATATTATTTTAGAGACGCTACGTTATCGCCATTTACGTGCAAATCGGTCGCTGTGTTTTTTTTTCCGTTTTTTATTGTGAATTATAGAATTCTTTTTGTTTCCGTCTCGCTATTTCGGCGCTGGCCTCCTGTATAGCTTCCCACAGTTTCGCTTCGGATAGAATTTGGCGGGATAGTTCGTCTATGGCCGATTCCGAGTCCAGCATTGTGCCTAGAGTGTCTTCGTCGACGTACTGAAAAAATAATTAATCTTTGATCGGTAATATAATAGGTAAATATCTGATTAAATATTAAGTACAATATAACGAAAATGGAGATAGGAAATCGGATAATCGATAATGGCGAACACAGATTAATATGTGGCGCGCATGTTCATAGAAATGGCCAAGGGATCTAGGACCATTATCGGTTATTTAGCATAAAATAAAATGGTAAACAGTCGACGTCGCCCAAAACACGACATTTCGGATCCTCCCGATCCACTAACGGTGCTTTTAGGTACCACAAGCACCGGTCTCTGTTCTCGTCGAACCCGTCGCTTACGACGAAGGGCTCGACGAGTAAACTAACCCACAGACACAGCCCACTGAGTTTCTCGCCGGATCTTCTCAGTGAGTCGCGTTTCCGATCCGGTGGTAGATTCTGCGAAGCACGGCTCTTGCTAGGGCCAATGTTAGCAACACTCCGGTTTGAGCCCCGTAAGCTCACCTACTTGTTAGGGCGAAGCTGAAGTAGTCTCTCAAGGCTATCAACATAGGTAGGAAAAAAAGATGCATATGTGAATTGTCAAGTTGATCAGACGTCTTAAAGTCGATGGAAATGACGTTCTAAGATTTCATTATGTTTTTTTTTATTGCTTAGATGGGTGGACGAGTTCACTGCCCACCTGGTGTTAAGTGGTTACTGGAGCCCATAGACATTTACAACATAAATGCGCCATCCGTCATGAAATGTAAGTTATAAGGTCTCAGTATAGTTACAACGGCTGCCTCACCCTTCAAGCCGAAACGCATTACTGCTTCACGGCAGAAATAGGCGGGGTGGTGGTGCCTACTCGCGCAGACTCACAATAGGTCCTACCACCAGTACGTGCTTGTACGTACTAAATACCCAGCTAATAAGATCCTGTTAAAAAAATGGATACACACCTGTCTTTGGCGCATCAGGTCCTGGTTTGGCATTCCGGGAGCAGTCTGGGAACGCTTCCTGCCGCATCCTTGGTAGAAAAGTACATGTTTAAAGCATTTAATTGGTTTGGTCAGAGCCTTAAGTCTCCTGATGCTCAGGTAATTTTTGCTGAGGCTTTGGGAATAACGCGTGACTGTTACGCGCTAGAAATAGGCAGAATGACGCTATATCTACGCTATATGACGGACTATCAAGTTAATTGCATCATACTTAATTGGGGTTTCTTTTTAATATTGCTTAGATGGGTGGTAGTTATTACAGCTCTTACAGAGTATCTCTGTCAGACAATGAGCTCACCACGTATAGCGTAGATGTAGCGTGGGTAGTTTCAAGAAATGTGGGCATTTTATATGTTTATTATTTTCAGGCCGTATCTTCTCCGGTCTTTTTATTGCCTGTGCAGGTTGCCGAAGATACGGACCACCGGATGGTGAATGGTTACCGTCGCCCATGGACGTCGCAATGCCAGGGGCAGAGCCAAGCCGCTGCTACCGCTTAATATTATCCATGAGCCTCGTTTGAAGAAGGACATGTCATAGCACTCGGAAAACCCCGTGGAGGGGAGCTCATACCAAAGCAGGATGGTACGTCGCAAAAAAAGACCTCTGGAAACGTATTTCGGATGAACGCAGTGGCTCTAGGTAGTATGGATGAACTCTACTCCGGTGGGACTCTACTCTTGTATGGAATTTAATAATTACCAGTGAAAGCGTTGCAGAAGGGTCTCTTCTTTGGCATTGTCACCATCTCCTCGTTCGATCTCGGATCAAAGTTCCTCGGGATCTAAAACAATTATACTGAATGTACTCCAATCCGGCGGTTCTTAAGTCGTGTCTTGACATAATATTACCAACTACCAAGCTTATAATTGGCCACGGACCCTAATAAAACCTGCCGGTTCAAGTCAAATCATCTTATCTGTCAGTTTTTATTTATTTATTGCTTTGATGGGACGACGAGCTCACATCCCACCTGATGTTAAGTGGTTACCGGAGCCCATAGACATCTACAACGTAAATGCCGCCACTTACCTTGAGATATGAGTTCTAAGGTCTCAGTATAGTTAGAACGGCTGCCCCACCCTTCAAACCGAAACGCATTACTGCTTCACGGCAGACATAGGCGGGGCGGCGGTACCTATCCGTGCGGACTCACAAGACGTCCTGCCACCAGTAATTATGCAAATTATAATTTTGCCGATTTGATTTTGGCGGCATATTAATTAGCTTTCTTTTAGTGGACAATTTTTTATAAACTAACTAGCCACACTCGCCCGCTTCGCTGGGCATTTAAAATTAACATTATTATTTATTGTCATTATTATTAAGGAGTCCAACACTTATATAAATATTAGCGTATCCATTAAGTACATGTATTTTCTACATGGATACCAAGATTCAAGTCAATCGGATGCATGATTCAGTAGTGATAACAGAACATCCGTAAAAACCACTGTAGATTTATATATTAGTATAGATATGGTACTCCTTAGTTCTGTCCTCCATGATTTCAAAGTAACAACATACCGTGGCCGTCACGCAACACTCGGCGCACAGTAGAGCGACCACGAGCACTAACAAAACGCGCGACGTCATGGCGGGAAACTTGACAGATGACAGATGACAGAAGACAGAAGACAGAAGACTGACAGTTCGCTGTAACGCCTGACCTGGAACAAGCGAAACGGAATAGTTTAAACATTTAGGTGCTTACTCTCCCTTAAACAGAATCCTTTGGGACTACAATAATGTCCACGGTAGCGCGGTCTCCGTCAATGTTCCTTCGGAGCTGTCCGGTTGCGCTGAACTAATTTTAAGTGAAATAGATGTTTTTTCTAATTGTCTTACAACTTACAGGAAAAATCTGTCGCGGATCATTTCCCAATTAAATATAAATTAATCTTAAGCAATCAATCAAATGTAATCAAATCTTAGTTTTTTTTATTTTTGTTGTTAATGCACTGTCGATTGCACCTATAATTGAGGTGACATCTGCCATGAATTTTTGTCAATTTGTCAATGATTTGTATTGATGATTACTTTGCTGGCGCAACTGAATAAATAAATAAATAAATTGTTATCCCTGAAACGCAGGATTGTAAATTCGCCGCTTATGTTTTTTTTTTAGCCACATCAATTATTATTTTTGCCTTAGACGGCAAACAGCGATGTGATCGTGATTGTTAATCTTTATTTAACCTATCAATCCGCAGTTCATAGGCCTTTCATCGCTTGAAAAATTAATTGGTTATCTGTAAAGTTGGTTTACGGACGATAGTCTTACGTGATGACGTCAGTAGCGGAACTATTCGAACTGCTAGCTCTGACGTCACGCGAGAAGAGACATCAATCTGTCACAAGCCAACGCTTAGGCTGATGGCGCTCTCGCTTGCACGGCGGCACGCTCAGGCGGAACGTGACACTTTTTCGTGCGTGCAGTCCCAAACCACTTTAAAGGTTTCATATCGCGTATGTAATTTACGTAATTTTTTGGTGGTCGCGAACAACAGAAGTCGCGGCCCTTAGAAACAACATAATGACATTATGCGTCGTCATAGTCTCCGTGGAAGCAGTTTCAATTGTGTCTACGGCTAGCGAATATCAAAGAAAAATAACAGACTGTAGTTCAATTATTAAAAAAAATGGTGCGCGTGCAATAAAACTTCCTTTGCGGTGACTAGTATTGTGGTTTTCTTCATTTCTCATCCTTAAATCAAAATTCTCTTGTAATAAGGAACTCTGTGTATAAGAGAAACGGCCTAGCTTGCTTTCTCCCTCTCTCCACGGTCGAGTGGCTCGCGCGACGCTCTATCTATTTTCTCACTCGCGCTAGTCCTAAATTGTATCTTTTCTCTCAAGCCGTAACCAATCTGTCACGAGTTAAATTTTATTCTCAACGCAAAGAAGTTTCACTTCAAAATCACGAATATCACTCTGCATTTAAACTTTAATGCGCACACGTAATGTTTGGCATATTACAAGTACCTAGCTGGTTCCATGCGACATATTTAATCAAACCTAACCCGCAGACAGACACAGCCCACTGAATTTCCTCAGTGGGTCACGATTCCGATCCGGTGGTAGATTCAGCGAAGCACTGCTCTTGCTAGGGTCAGTCTTAGCAAGTCCTAAGAAGCAACTGGAATGGCCCTAGCTACCAGCGATTAGATAACGAAAAAAATAATAGTTTAAAAAAACAAAAAAAAATACACTTGTAAAGAAAATCCAACTAAAAAATAGAAAATATATCACTGGTGGTAGGACCTCTTGGGAGTCCGCACGGGTAGGTACCACCACCCCGCCTATTTCCGCCGTGAAGCAGTAATGCGTTTCGGTTCGAAGGGTGGAGTAGCCGTTGTAACTATACTGAGACCTTAGAACTTATATCTCAAGGTGGGAGGCGCATTTACGTTGTAGATGTCTATGGGCTCCAGTAACCACTTAACACCAGGTAGGCTGTGAGCTCGTCCACCCATCTAAGCATTAAAAAAAAAATTTAATAAATTTTAATTAAAAATAGTGTAAGAAAAGATGATTTTATTGTAAAAAAAAATGCGTGGAGTGCATGGTAAAAAAAATTCAAATTTATTTTCTATTTTTTAGTTGAATTTAAATTTTTTCAATAATTTTTTTTTTCAATTTTTTTAATATGAATTAAATATTGAATTGTCATCGGTCCTTAATCAGTATACCAAATTTCGAGTTAATCCGACGTTTTGAAGGGGGTCAAAGTCATGTTCAATTATTCCGTTACGTACATACTAACATACTGAGTCTGAAGCTAATAAAATCGTATTAAAAATCTAAATCCAAATAATTATACAGGCGAATATCATGTTCGATGTTAGCATTGGCTCGCGTAAACAAAGCCCAACTAATAACTATGCATATACAAGTACATAGTACATACTGACATCTATATATTAATTAATACGTGAAGCAAAAACTTTGTATCCCTTTTTTATGAAAATTGCACGGACGGAGGAGTATGAAATGTCCCACACTTATAGACAATATAAAGAAGGTCTGCAGGATGTCACAACATTGTTTGACATTAATATTAATTGTCTATAGTGTACTCTTGGCAAAATCTGTTATTAAAGAAGTATATAGTCTTTGATAATAGAATTATAATAATGTTCAAACTTATGTATTCAATTAATTATTGTCGAATTTCGACTACTCGGGGACCACTAGTTTAAATTAAGAGATGGCAAACTTCAAAGTGAATTGTCAAAAATTCTCCTTAAACCAATAGGCTGAGTTAAAGTTCCGCAGTTCGAAAAATTAAGTTACTGGCTATCGAATTCCGGTAGTTAAGAGTTCTATGTAACCAACTAAACAGTTTAATCTTCTTAATTAATTCGATTCTGTTGTTTTAACTGTATCAACGCGACCGGCCCTAAACTTATTTGTCTAAGGAAGGTCACCTTAATTCTTATAATTACACAACGTTAATTATTTATTGTGTTTTATTGTATTAAATTAACCCACAGACACAGCCCACTGAGTTTCTCGCCGGATCTTCTCAGTGAGTCGCGTTTCCGATCCAGTGGTAGATTCTGCGAAGCATGGCTCTTGCTAGGGTTCGTGTTAGCAACGTCGTCAGGTTTGAGCCCCGTGAGCTCACCTACTAGTTAAGGTTACGCTGAAATAGCCTCGGAAAAAAAAGCAGCTCGATTTTGTTCTTGTACTACCGCTTTGTAAGGTTTCGTATTGAAACAAAACGTATTGGAGATTAGAAGCGAATCTCATTTGTATTAGTTATGCCTATTTTTATGACCCAATGAAAAGTCTTCGTGGTCTAAGATGTATTCAAGCGAATAACTTCCACGGTGAAGGAATAATAACATCAGTAGCGAAATCGGATAAACAAACTTTTGTTAGATGGGTGGACGAGCTCATAGCCCACCTGGTGTTAAGTGGCTACTGGAGCCCATAGACAACTACAACGTAAATGCGCTACCCACTTTGAGATATAATTTCTAAGGTCTCCGTATAGTTACAACGGCTGCCCCGCCCTTCAAACCGAAACGCGTTACTGCTTCACGGCAGAAATAGGCAGGGTGGTGGTACCTACTCGTGCGGACTCACAAGAGGTCCTACCACCAGTAAACGTCTATATATAATTCTTCGTACTTTTGGCCTCAAATGACGTCACACGTGGTGAAGTCGCGCTCTGCTGTGCTTAACAAGGATGGGGCGACAATGGATGGAAAAGAAAGTAGAAATGACGCATATACATTAATCTATACTAGTATATAAATTTACAGTGGTTTTTACGGATGTTCCGTTATAACTACTGAACCATGCATCCGATTTACTTGAAACTTGGTATCCATGTAGAAAATACATTTACTTAATGGATAGGATATTTATATGTATGTATCACCACCCTGCCTATTTCTGCCTCGAAGCAGTAATGCGTTTCGGTTTGAAGGGTTGAGCAGCCGTTGTAACTATACTGAGATCTTAGAGCTCATATCTCAAGATGGGTGGCGCATTTACGTTGTAGATGTTTTTGGGCTCCAGTAACCACTTAACACACCAGGTGGGCTGTGAGCTCGTCCACCCATGTAAGAAAAAAATATACTTTTATTAATTGTTAACGATCAGACACATTTAAAGTAATGCTTCTGCTTTGTTTAGCTTAACGTAACAAAGAAAAATCGATTTAAATTGTTATTGACAAGTATCGCGATATTTTTATCTGAAGTATCCCGGGGAATTGTAATTGTTATGTGGATATTTACAACGTACTTAACGCACGAAACACGTC